ACAAAATCGTAGTACTGTTCTATGTGGTTATTGGTGTTTATATTATCTCTACGAGAGACAGCGGGGTAGTAGTATTTTAGATGTAATACATAACCCTCATTTTGATAATGACAACAGTGATTTTATAAAGGTATACTTTGGGGGGTAGTATATTTTTGATATTATTTTTAATATCAAAAATTAAATATTTTTCTCAATTCTATGAATAACCTTGTAATGATTATTTAACGTTTTTTTGTTACGAAATGCTTTTGGGCAGTATTTACAAAGAATACGAACACCATCCATATACTTATGAATAAGTTTGCTGATCTTATCGTAATCATTACTTAGAATAAATGCGTAATCATTACTACGATACTTTTCTTTCATCTTCAGTTGAGATTCTGATACGCAGTAATTGTTAGTTGGTGATTTAAATTCAATACAGAGACCTTTATATTCCCTGTGATAATCTAGAATCATTAGATCTGGTTGTCCTCGTTGATATCCTTTTTTATATGAGTCTAGTCTTTTTTCCTCTGTATCTTGATTCTCTCCCAATCCAGCTACTAATATAGAATCTGGATAATAATTTCTAATTAGTTGAACTACTTTGTAATGAAGGTCTGTTTCATTTTCTATCTTAAACATTTTGTTATTTGGGTTGTCAAACATTTTATAAAAACCATATTTTCTTATCGAAGGTAGAACTTGTGAGATAATCCAATGTTTGAACTTCTTAGCTGTTTCTAATTTAGAGGATAATACAAGGGAGTAGAAGCCTGATTCATTTATAAAATTACACCATCTGACCTGACCCGTCGAAACGACGGGGCAGCTTTTTTGGTCTTCGCTATCAACATGTTTTCTAATTGCTTGATTAGTGTCTTTATAACAGAGGATCTCAGCTACATCTTTTCCAATAAACCAGATATTTTGCTGTTTGTCAATATATGAAGTCAATTCAATTCCTAAATCTTTATTAGTAAACTTCTTCTCCAACATATTTGCCATTTATATAATAATTTTATTCTTTAAGTAGTTTTTATTCACTATCATCTGGCAAATTCTTTAGTTGCTTAACACTCTCAACTTTTTTATTTAAATCTTTAACACTATCAACTATTTCATCAAATTTCAAATAAATTTCAATAAGACGNAGTAATTGTTAGTTGGTGATTTAAATTCAATACAGAGACCTTTATATTCCCTGTGATAATCTAGAATCATTAGATCTGGTTGTCCTCGTTGATATCCTTTTTTATATGAGTCTAGTCTTTTTTCCTCTGTATCTTGATTCTCTCCCAATCCAGCTACTAATATAGAATCTGGATAATAATTTCTAATTAGTTGAACTACTTTGTAATGAAGGTCTGTTTCATTTTCTATCTTAAACATTTTGTTATTTGGGTTGTCAAACATTTTATAAAAACCATATTTTCTTATCGAAGGTAGAACTTGTGAGATAATCCAATGTTTGAACTTCTTAGCTGTTTCTAATTTAGAGGATAATACAAGGGAGTAGAAGCCTGATTCATTTATAAAATTACACCATCTGACCTGACCCGTCGAAACGACGGGGCAGCTTTTTTGGTCTTCGCTATCAACATGTTTTCTAATTGCTTGATTAGTGTCTTTATAACAGAGGATCTCAGCTACATCTTTTCCAATAAACCAGATATTTTGCTGTTTGTCAATATATGAAGTCAATTCAATTCCTAAATCTTTATTAGTAAACTTCTTCTCCAACATATTTGCCATTTATATAATAATTTTATTCTTTAAGTAGTTTTTATTCACTATCATCTGGCAAATTCTTTAGTTGCTTAACACTCTCAACTTTTTTATTTAAATCTTTAACACTATCAACTATTTCATCAAATTTCAAATAAATTTCAATAAGACGAAAAAGTTTATTCTTTTTATCACTATCTATTTTCAACCAAGAATATTCCTCATTTTGAATTTTCCCCCACATCTCACATTCACCAGCCATTAGTATTCTAGAAAGATCATCATTACTTTTTCTAAGAGTTTCAAACTCATTTACTATTTTTTTTCTTAATTCTTTCTCAAAATCTTTGAGTGTTTTAACATCCATCGTTTTTTCTATCTCAGAAAAGAATTTAGCTTCCATTTGTTATATGAATAGATAATTAGATCTAGTATACATATTTATCTAAACATTATACTAAATGAAAGAATCATATTGTATTGTAGATAAAAGAGTAACCCCTTGCACAGAGCCAAGTGGTTACCAAACTGATAAAAGAGGTAGAACTCAATTCTATTGTAGATGTGCAGTTTGTGGAAACAAAAAAGTTAGATATGTGAAAACGGGGTCAGCTTCTCAAAGTGGAAGTGGAAAAAAGAAAAAACGAAAGTCAAAAAACTAAACAGCCCGTCTGAAGGGGCGGGCGTCTTTGATACTGTAGTTGGTACAGCAGTTGATGGTTTTGTTCATTACGGTTTACCTTGGATGAGTAAAAAAGCAGTTGAAATGGGGAGATATGGAGCAAGTGAGTTAATGAGAAATAAAAATCTTCAAAAGAAAGCTGTAAATTATGGGATTAGTAAACTCACTCCATTTATTCAAGATTCTGTTGGATCAGCCATGGACCAGTTATCAACAAAAGTAAGACCAAAAAATAAATATAAAACTGATAGACCAGAATTAGATGGAAGAGGAATAGATATTCACAAGCAGATTGGTAAATTACCAAAACCAAAAGGTGGATGGACCTTACCAGGGCATAAATATACCGGTCCTTATAACGATCTCGAAAACCAAGTAAGATACAATCCGGAAACTGGTGAAATATTAGAAATTTACGATCAACCAACTGGGCCAACTGATGCTGTGGCTATGCAACATGATGTTGATTATAGTGTTTGTGGTGATGACAGAAAGTGTAAAAATAAAGCTGACAGAAAGATGGTAAAATCGTTAGATTCAATTCCTTGGAAAGAAAGGCAATGGGGGCATACTTTGACTAGAACAATAATAAATACAAAACAAAAACTTGGAATGGGATCAAAAAACGTAAAGCGGTGTTGAGTAGTGATTGGTCTCAACAATTAGCCGACGAACTTCACAAACCAATCACAAGAAACTTTCAAAAGAGATCAGTAATCTCAAACGGGATTGATGATATCTGGGCTGCTGATTTAGTTGAAATGCAAAAGTTTAGTAAATGGAATAAAGGGATAAAATATCTGCTAATGGTTATAGATGTGTTTAGCAAGTATGGATGGATTAAGGGATTGAAAGATAAAAAAACTGAAACTGTTAGTAAAGCATTCGATGACATATTCAAAAGTAAACGTAAACCTCAAATGTTATGGACAGATAAAGGTTCTGAGTTTATAAGTAAACATTTCAAAGAGCTTCTGAAAAGAGAGGAAATCAAGTTGTATCACACTGAAAATGAAGAGAAATCTAGTGTTGTTGAGAGATGGAATAAAACAATGAAAAACAGAATGTGGAAGATGTTTACTGTGAATAACAACACTGTTTACTGGGACAAACTTGATAAACTAGTTAATGACTACAATAATGCGAGACACTCTAGTATAAAAATGACTCCTGTTGAAGCAAGTAAAAAGAAAAATGAGCGTAAAGTTTGGTCTAATTTATACGGTGATTTAATTTACACAAAACCTGGTAAATCAAAATTTGTGGTTGGTGATCGTGTTAGAATTTCTAAGTATAAGAGGCGAGTATTTGATAAAGGTTACACACCAAACTGGACAGAGGAAATATTTGTAATTGATAAAGTTTTACCAACAAAACCTATTACATATAGCATTGTTGATTTAATGGGGGAAGAGATAAAGGGTTCTTTCTATGAGCAAGAATTACAGAAAGCAAAACAACAAACATTTAGAATAGAAAAAATTATCAGAAGGGATAATAAAAAGAAAATGGCATTAGTAAAATGGATTGGATATCCTGATAAATTTAACTCGTGGGTTAGTTTGAAGGATTTGGTTGATTTTTAATACAATATTTGTATTAAAAATAAAATCCTATTATTTACTCATCTTCTTCATCAGATAAAATTAAGTCTTCAACTACTTGATCAGGTATCTCTTCACCCTCACTCTCTTCCTCTTCAATTGTAAGTAAAGATTCCCTAGGTTTTAATGGTTTGATATAGCACTCATGTACTTTTATTTGCAAAGATGTAATATTTTTACTAATAAATATTCCTTCAATTATTAATGCCATTTTAACATTGCAGTACTGATTAATATATTTGAAAGGATTTAAATCCTTCTTTCCCTTTGTTTTAAATAGTGAAAGAATTTTCTTTGATTTTTCAGAGTAAATAAGTTTTGAATAAAGAACTGGCGCTGATGATTCATCAACTTTTGTTCTCTTTTTTCCTTTCTTGTCTGTGTATTCTTCTTTTTTGAAATAAAATGGTGAAGATAAAGATGATGCTAAATCTACTCCATATTCATTCTCTAAATGTTTCTGAGATAGATTTTTTACATTATTAATAACATCAAAAAATGCTCGCTCTTTACTACTAGGTTCACTATCTTTAGACCAAAGACATACTGGAATACTATAACCAACTAATTTACCTGTTTCTTGATTTTTCTTTTCACTAACACCAAAACTAAAAAGAACTGGAGATTCAACTACAAGTGGTCCTTTTTTGTTATTTGGATATTTGACTTCAATTGGAATACGTTTGTATTTAATCTTGCTATCTTTGACTTTGTACTCTTTGGCTTCATTAAAGATAATATTCTCTTGGGTAATATTTTCATAGCTGGACAGTTGCATTTTTATTAATGTCTAGATAATCTTTAAATCATAAATCAATTTTATTTTTTTTCTGCAGCAAGCTTTTTAGCATTTCTGGTTAATCTCTTAAACTCTGGTCCTTTAATAATTTTTTTCGTTTGGGATATAATCGGGATCCTCATTATGTCTATACCCATCATCAACTATAAATTCCAAATCCTCTTTTGTAGGAGTAGTCTCTCTTGACCTTGGTTCCATTTTTTTTATTATTAGGATATATTATTTCTTCTTCAAACTTGTAACAAAAATGTTATAAGTTTAAAAATCATCATCACTTTCACTTTCACTTTCACTTTCACTTTCACTTTCACTTTCACTTTCACTTCTTTCACTTCTTTCACTTCTTTCACTTTCACTTCTTTCACTTTCACTATCACTATCAAAAATATTAACAATATGTTCTTCTTTTTTTATTTTATCATTAAATAAACAAATCAAATTAAGAAGCTCTCTAAAACCTGGAAAGTCAATATCTATATTTAATTCATAAGATTCCTCATCAAACTGATAACTATTTGGATCTACATATAAATCTATATAATTTTCAAGTTGTTCTTCTAAACATTCTATGTTACTAATATCATTATATTTAAAATAAAAATCACTAATATTTTGAAGTTTACCCATTTTTTGAGCCTCCAAAACATTTTTAAAGTGACTAATAAGTGCTTTCGGTTTTGAAGTAAAAAAAACTTCTTTAAAAGAATTAGAATTAAAATCTATCTTTTTCATAAAATCACCACACTTGTTATTAATCCCTCTTATGTAAAGCCATTCTTTTTTGAAGTCTTTTGCATATTCAGGGATTTTTGAGTGTTTTTGATTTGAGCCAGAAATAAAAACAGAGTGAACCAGACTACCCATTTCCATAACTACTAAAACAAGCCGAGTAAATATATTATGACGAGCACTGTTGATATGATCCAAGATCTCTGTAGTATTTTTATAGTAATACATG